AGTGTAGAGGTTAATCTTTTATCAGAAGTGGGGCATAAAGTTGGTGTGGTGGTGCATACTTATAGTCCTAGAACTCTGAGAGGTTGAGGCAAGGGGGTACAAGTGGGTCATTTAAAGACTAAGCAAGACTACTCTGTCTCAAAATTTAAAAGGGATGGGGTTATATCTCAGTGTGAAGACCCGGGTTCAATCCCCAATACTAAAGAAGATGGAGGAGGGTAGTGAGGGGGAGGAGGAGAAGGAAAAGAAACACAAGGGCAAAAAGGAGGGGCGGTAGAAAAGGAGGAAGAAGAGATGGGTTTCGTGGCAATAACTGGGTCACAGGACTCCACCCCCATGAAGGGCTTGATGCTGCCTCTCAGGAGTGAGTCAGGTTTCCTAGGAATCAATTGGTTCCTGTGAGACCTCCCTTCCTTCAACTGGCTGACTCCAGATTGAGATCAATGAATAAATAATGAATTTGATCCAGCTATGCCCTAACATCTACAACCTGGGAACCCTCCTCTCTCCTTCTCTAATAAAACAGAATGGTCTGACACCTACATCAGCAGAGATCCAAAGAAAGCAAAGTATTTTTGATGCTTTGGAGAATCATGAACCATAGTCACATAAAGATAAGTAACATCAGAAGTGACTCATGAGAGACACCATGAGGACCTAAGTAGACACTCATCATCAGAGACCTCATCCTACCTCTGATTTTCAACTTAGAGGCAACAGCTAACACCAATGTCCGTTTCTCTGTCCATGAATTTGTTTTTCAGTAATGAGACTGAACTCAGGGTCTTTTCACTGAGCTACATCCCTGTTATAGCTAGGATTTACAAGGGGAAGGATGTAATACAGGACACATAATTTACAGGATTCTTTTATAATAGTCACCTAAAGCATCAAATGCAAATGAGTGTGGGAGATCTGTCCATACACTAGAGCTCCACAGAATCCACCTGAGGGCATGGATCCCGCAGCAATGTCCTGCACGAATCCACCTGGAGGCCTAGAACCCATCACAATGTGTCATGCAAGTCTGTATCAGGATCTGCACGGGAAAGGCCCAAAGGTCAGTGGTGAAAGCTAGAAAGTCTGCACCAGCAGGATGAAGGCTCTATAAAGCAGGTTGCGGAATCTGCCCCGGAGCCAGGAAGTGTTTAGAGAGGGACCAGAACTCCTGTAAAGAGAACCACAGCCATCCTCAGCAGTGAGAACACAATCTTCTCTGACAATAAGAACAGCTGAGTTCATATCAGGAAAACCAGTATGACTAGCTTCTCCAGGAGAATCAACAGCACACCGTCTTCCCCTCCAGCACTCTTTTTATTGTGGGCAACAATCCTCAGGTGGGCCTTCCACGCCAAGAACCACAATAGTTCAGTTCAACGGAGTGTTATACATTGACCATTAGTTAATCCACCACAATCCCTAATCCTTTTTAATTTTTATTTTAAGGCAGAGTGTTTTGTTTTAAGGCAAGTCACTGTTACGATTTGCATCTGGACGTCCCCTCAAAGCCTCATGCAGTCGTAGGGGGTGGGCCCTTTGGTTGTAGCTGAATCTAGAGTCTATGACTGATTTGTAGTACAGTGCTAGGATTAAGGCTGGGTGACTGATTGGACTGGCACACCCTTAATCCCAGCAGTCTAAATAAAACAAATGGAACAGAAAGAGACTTGCTTCCCCCTTTTGCTCTTTTTTTTTTTTTTTTTTTGTCTTTTTCCTTTTTATCAGTACCAGGCATCGAACTCACGACTATCTGCTTGCAAGGCAGGCGCTTATGCCGCTGAGCTAAATCCTCAGCCCACCCCCCTTTTGCTCTTGTTGCACTGTCACGAACTGTCTTTTGCTGTCTACCACTGCCATGAACTGTCACCTCTCTGCCATGTCCCTGAGGCTGAAATAAGGAACCTAACCCACTCCTTTAAAATAAATATGCAGATTCGCTGATTCTCGTCATGGAAAAAGAATCTTCGGGATGCTCAGTAAAAGGAGAAATGAGAAAGATTTATTACAGGAAGATATAGGGCACACTCAAGAGCTAAGTGCCAGTGCACAAGGAAATGAGGCGCAATATAGTTGGGGTACGGCACACATTTAAAGGCTGTTTTCGATATGGATGATCTCAGATATGCATTCTCACTGTGGTTACAGGGCAAGCCATCCTATGGGTTTGAAGTGGAGATACACATTAGCATGCTGTCTCCACTGCAGCTGCTTCCTGGGCTGGAGGAAAAGACAGCATGCAGGTAAAGGGAATGGGAAGACCCATTTGCAGCTTAAAGGGGACTTGCCCAGGTCTTCTGTTTGAGGAGAAGGAAAAAAATTAACTGGGCTTGTATTCTGAAGCTGCAGTTTTTCTTTAAAAATACAGTTTTAAATTCTTGATTTCCTGGTCTCCTTTCTACTTAGTTTTATTTCTTCTAGCCAAACTCAAGTTGGAAGCACAACATAGCATTGTAAGTCAGATTAACGTATTTTCTAAAATTTGCAGTAATTCATCTATCTGCCTCCACATTATGCATTAATAAATAAACAAAACACCCGAACAAAAACAAAAACAAAAAAATCTCTGAGCTCAGTGAAGACTCAAATGTTCCTTTTTGGCATTGTTTCCCATCATTTAACTGTGTGTATTATATTTGTGAGAAGTATTCCAAACACCAGCTATCTCTGATTTTTTTGTTCAGTTGTTTCTGTTCGAGAGGGGCCACGCCATTGTCAGTTCATGGGTTGCATTTGTACAAATTGAGAATCGAGCTTGGGTGAAATCCCAACACCTGCTTGCCTCCTGTGGCAGATATCTCTGCACAGGGTACACCCATCCAACCCCGTCCTTGGACTGTCCTCTTGATCAAAAACCATCAACAGCATCATCAGGGTATCACTTAATGGTGTTTGGTATCAAGGGTTAATGCTTTCACTGTTATCTAAGCCACAGCAGAAGTCTTGAAACTTTCTGCTTGCATCAAAGCATCTGCACAGCTCAGATAAGGAGTTCACAGCTCATGTGTGCTTTCTTATCTCTCAAGTTGCTTAGGAAAGAACCAGAAGCTCATGGCTTCCTCACCACTCATTGTGAGGAAGCCAACGTCACTATCAATAAAACAGCTCAAAGAATATATGCTGGGTCATCCACAGGATCTGGGCTTATTCAGCAAGAACATTCAACCTTTCTAATTACAGTACACTGACTAATTTTGGACTGTCAACATCAGGTCCAAGGATCCTTTGCTGGCTCCTGTCCCCTTCCCTGGCCTGGTTTACAACCCTTTGGGTTCCTGTAGAATTCCTTGCCTATCTGTACTACTGCCTTCCCATGGGTCTACTCAGTGGATTCCTTTTGGGTCTGAACCATGTCTTAACTTATTTTTGCCTATATCCTCGCGGTGGAAAGATTTAACAACATATGTGCATATAAACTAAAAAGTGGAAGTCTCCCTCCTATTATTTCCAACCCCATTCCTCTAAGAGGACCAACTACAGCACTGTGTATCCCTCCACAAGCCTTCATTTGCATGCTAAGTCAAATCCCAACCATTACTGAGGCTTTACTAAGAGTCAAAGGCTGTGCTAAGCACTTTTCATGTTTGTCCCTAAGTAATTCACAAAGAAAGCCCATAAGGTAAGTATTACTTTTATGGCTCTTTTCACAATAGTAGAAGCCAAGGTGACAGTTACTAAGTGGTAAAGCAGGATTTCGAATCCAGGCACAATAACTTCAGAACACATGTTCTTAACTCCTGTTGTTCTGTCACCTGCTTTCAGAATTTGCAAAGTGTCTATGACACTTTGTCATACTTACACAATTATTTCTTCCTTAATGTTGCTCAGTGTTCTATAAGATGCAGTTAACAATTCTTCTACTGACAAATTTAAGAATTTTTCCAGTTTTTCCCCTTGTCTTATTAAATCAAATCTAAGATTCCTTTGATGATAACAAGTATTCAATTTCAGGGAGATTAAAAATTTTTTAAATGCATTTTAGAATTACTATATTGTGGTCTTAGAGATAATGCTATAAATGAACATGCTTGCATATAATTTTTCATGCATGTATTTCTGTAAACGTTTCCCAGAAGTACCACTAAAAGCAAAAATGAAGATGCATTTTGTATTTTAATAACACTGCCAAATTCCATCTAGGGGTCCTTATGCTACTAATTTGTGTTCCCATTTACTTACCAAAACTGCCTGATATAAATATTTAGTGGATATATGATGCAGCCCACCAAATTCCAAGTATTTTATGACACACAAAAAAGTAAGATAAAGCAAAATAAAAACAAAAATAAAACAGACAATATGACTAGAATGTTTTAGTATCATTTGTGTGCGTAGTTTTGCTGAAACACTGCCCACAGTAAATGACAAATGATAATATTTTATATACTGATGTGTCAAAAACGATTACAAGATATATTGTAAAAAGTTATCAAAAAGCTGTGTACTCAACTTAATAAATATATACCAATAACTCCAGTGTTTTACAATTCCCAAGCTACTATAGGTAAGAAATTTTCAGAATTATTACGGTCTGTTCTTTTTTTCAAACACTGGCAAAAACACGTACCATATCCTCCACCCTAAACTTGGTCTCCAAAAATTATGGTTTGGCGGATCTAGAGTTGGGGCTTCATTTTAAACAAAAACACCAGATGATTCCAATGCACTGTAAAGAGAGCCGCAGCTTTCAAGGGCTACAACAAGAGAGGTTACTTAATGAGATGTGCATTTTACAAATATTCCTTTGGTTGCAAGGTGTACAATCAACTAGAAGTGGGCTAAGACATCTTGTGGCATCATAACTGAGCAGCGTGCGGGTAGAAAGACCCAGGCCGTAGGTGCACAGACGTACCTCCTGCAGGCCATCAGATAACCTATCCTAAGCTAGGCCAGGGACGCCAACTGCGACTGCGCATCCCTAGGTCCGAGGGGGGCGGGCCCCGGAGTTCCGGAGACCGCGCAGTCCCAGACCGGAAGCGGAAGTGAGGTTGAGTGAGCCTCGCGCGCTTCGCTGGTCGCAGCGGTCCCTCCCGCTCTAGGCGGGGTCGACTCGAGGAGTCGCCGGAAGCGGAAGTTGCTAAGGGGTGGGGGAGTTGTTAGGAAAGTAGTAGGTTTTCCTCCCGCTTCTTAGTTTCGAGCCGCGGCTGCTGGAGCAGGTAAAGCCCAATTTTGAGACCTCGCCAACTCTGCTGATCTGCTTAAGCCGGCTCCTGGCCCTCGCTATCGTCTAAGGGGCGTGATACACTGGTGCAGCGACCCTCCCCAAGGTGCTAGTGAGCCCCTGGTGCCGGGAGTCCCCTGTCCCACGTCCCTTCCCTGGAGTGAGGTTCCGTGTGGCTTCCCGGTGTCCCCGCAGACCCCCACCATGGGCAACACGAGCAGCGAGCGCGCCGCGATGGAGCGGCAGGGTGGCCATAAGACACCCCGGAGGGACAGCTCAGGTGGCACCAAGGACGGAGACCGGCCCAAGATCTTGATGGATAGCCCTGAGGACGCCGACCTCTTCCACTCCGAGGAGATCAAGGTACGAAGGGTGGAGGAATCCGATTCTCCTCGACTCATAGTTAAGGGAGGAGCGCTCTACTAGGTTCCCGCCACATCCTCTAAAAATCACCGTGAGAACCGGGAGGAAGATGGTTTCTTACCAGGTGTCTTTAAAAGCCAGATGGTCCTTTAAGAGACCTCTTAGCAGACCAGGAACTTTGTGTCTAATTACCGATAAGAGAAAGGCACCCTGCGGGAGGAAAAACTCACTCGTTTAACATCATTAAGAAGGAAGCCCTGGGACCGAGTTTCAAATTCTTAATTAAAAGAAGCAAGCCAGCAGCAATTGTGCACCAGTCCTGCTTTTCTCTTAGGTATAATTAATTGCACAGCTTTGAGAAATCTTTCCTCATGCAGACTGGTGCTTCTGTAAAAGTTGGTTCGGTAGTTTGTTCGTTTTGGAGATAAAGCAGACCATGCATGTAAGCCGAAAACAGATTTGAATAGTTGATGGCATTTGTCATAGATGTTTATTTAGTTCTGAAGGCTTGTCCACCCTGCTTTTTTAATACCGCATAAAAAGGTAGTTTCACTCATGGAGGTCAGTGGGCAAGTGTAGTGTCAGTCTTGGAAGCAGCAAGCAGCTACCAAACTTCTCTCCCGTGTTATTTAAATGAGACCTAACGTCTAAAGCAGACATTTCAGAGGTCAGACTTGGACTTCTTGCTGTAGCACCTTAATTCATCAAAATTAAGATTCTGGAATCCACGTTCTGTTAACCACCTTGTTGCTGGTCTGTTTTCTGCTGCAGGAGCCAGTCTAACAACACTTAGTGATTCTGACAGGTGTGCAGAACTAATTTCTTAAATTAAGTAGGTTTAAGAAGAATGAAGGTGCCCCCACCCAAAATAATCATCAGTGCCCACGAGGTTAATTGCCTAGTGGTTTAATTCCTCCTTTTTAAACGTTTTTTCCAGGTATTGTGAACATTATCTCACATCTTCTCTGGATTCTTAGTTTTAAGTGAAACTTTAAAAAGCCTCCTTCCTTTTTCATGGCCCTAAATCCTGTCATTTGAATTCATTTTCTAAACTTGTTCCATTCTTGAAAAAGTGTGTGCACTGAACTCTGGAATCATGTTTCTTCGGTGACTTGATGACATAGCTTACCCCAGAAGTAACATTGACCCCCTCAATGCTACTCAAGATACCATAAGTAGGAAACCACTTTCAAAACCCCTGCAGAAAGTTTAGAAAACAGATGATCCATGGAGAATGAATTTAAGTAGCATGCTTTTTCATTTCAAGAGAAGTTATTGAAATGATGTAGCAGACACACTGGACTGAACATTCCAGATAACTCCCAAAAAAGTCATGGATTCTTTAACTACCCTAGTTCACTATTTTAACTGGAGTTAATGATCACATCCCCCTAAAGCCATTCCAGTCTGTTATTCTTAGATCTGTATATCTTGTTAGAATTCAGAGAATGCAACTATCTTTTAGATAAACTCAAATTAGTGTTTAAAATGAGAGTGCTAAAAGTTTCCTAGAGTCCCTTAAGAGTTTCTCCCAGCCTGAAACTGCCCTTTTAGAAGTCTGATTACTGGCTAGGAAAAATGCAAAAGATCCATAACCAAATTTATTTCACCCAAAGGTGGGGGAGTATATCTTTCTTGTTCCAGAGTACCTGTTATTGGGCACTTACCACACCAGGTGTTACTATTTACCATAAAGGGAGTCAGTCTTTTCTTTATTTATGTTTCTCCTCTGTCTAGACAACATTCGGTGATTAGTGTTTTCCTTCCTTACACTCTGATTTGTCATTTCTCAAGTTGACAGTTCTGAAATTGTCTGTGACAAATTTTCATGTACTTTAGTTGGACTTTATTAAGGGAGGAAAATGACATTTAATAAGCTAGCCTTTTATTCATAGCAGTCTTCTTCTGAACAGAAATTATAGTTTCCGGTAGAAGGCTTTTTTATGTGAGCCTACTTAATAACAGCAGTAATATAGCTGATAATTACTAAGCACTCACTACCTGTCAGACATTGTACATGTGGAGTATCTGAGTTTTCACAACCTTAAAAAATACAAGTGAAATAAATCAGACTCACCATTGTAAGTAAACATTGTCTTGTTTCCCTAGTATAAGAAGGTAAAAGAGTAAATAAGATCCAAAATGTACAACAACAGATACTGGGAAATGGGAAGAAATTGTTCAAAAGGAAAGAGAAACTGGGATAGAAGAAAAGAGGGGGGGAATTTTATATATATGTGCGTATATATAAATATATATACACACGCACACAGTAATTAAGATAGTTATACTGCTAATCACTGTCAGTTCATTGAAAAGAAAGGTTTGTGCCAATATTGTTTGATAAATTTTTCATGCCTATATCTTGTAAGATGAGCAACTACTTTAAAGGTAACAATATATAATGTACTAGCCATTGTTACTCTCCTATCTTGTTTTAAAATTGTGTACCATTGTTTTTATTGGTTTTTTTAAATTAAAAAAGTTACTTTAATGATCTGCACTTTAGGGATAGTAAAACACACAGTGAGTAAGGAATGTAGATAGAACCGCTTCCCCTCTTTAGGGTGAGTTGTCAGTATTAGGTTAAGGATTTATTGTAGAGAACTCACTAATGGCTTCCTGTCCCAAGTAAACTGCTGTGCTTCTAGGCGCCAGAGAAGGAGGAATTCCTGGCCTGGCAACATGACCTGGAAGTGAATGATAAAGCTCCTGCCCAGGCACGGCCTACTGTATTTCGATGGACAGGGGGCGGAAAAGAAGTTTACTTATCTGGGTCCTTCAACAACTGGAGTAAACTTCCCCTCACAAGAAGGTAATGGCCTGGAGGCGCCTTTGTTTATTTGTATTTGTCTTTGGCCATAGATACTCATGTTTTTAAAAAGATCTCTGCAAGTGAATAGGAAAAGAATGTTTTTATAAAATGAGTGTTGAATGAGGAAATAATTCTGCTTATTAATGGTATGTTTCAAATCCAAGAAATCTCTAGATTTAAAGCACACACTTTTAGAAGAAAACGTCTCTTGGTGGAGAGTATTTCTATGTCATGGACAGCTCTCAATTCAATACTGAACTACATATTTCTCTCAGATCTATTCATAAAGCAGTGGAGAGAGCACTGGGCTGGAAATCTTAGAGATGCGGATTTGAGCCCACGTTGTTTGCACAGTCACTTAATGCCTGAGCCTATAAATGCCTAGCTGTGAAAAAGGAGTATTAGATGAGGTACCCTCTGAGGTTCATTCCGACTTTGCCTCTCTGCACTGCTTTTATTTGGGAGTGTGTGTTACATAGATCTCATTCGCAAGGATTTTGTAACAGGCGCCCTGGCATGAATTTCTATCTTAGATTGCCCAGGAGAGAGAAAATGCCTTCACTAGTGAGTGCTCTTGATGACATGAAGGGAGAAATGGTGCCCTGCTGGTCAGTCCTGGTCGTTGGCAAGGGGCCACCCTCATTTCCAGCAGTAACATAGGAAGGAGGCACTCAGTGCAGTACTCACAAGTCAGTGCAAGTCTGGAAAATAGAACCACCTAATGGGGCTGGCAGAACTGTTCAGCGGCGTGGCGCCCGCCTAGCAAGGGCAAGGTCCTGAGTTAGATTTCTGGTTCCAACCAAATAAAAAAGGTTCCTGAATCTGGACATTTGTGTGTCCTGTTAAATTGATCCTCTCTGCCCTCAGTGCAAACTGACAAAGGGTAAAACCAGGCAGCTTGCTGTTTGTCTTCTGTTGACCTCCACATTCAGAGCTGCCAGGTGGTATTGTGCACACAGAGGAGAGAATCCCAAGTGTGGGTTTGTTTACCTTCTAAAGTTACATCCTAGCATGTGAGCAAAGTGAGTTTTCAGGAAAGTCTCTTGCCCTGCTGCCTCCCTGTGTAGCTTTTCTAGATAGAGATCGTTATCCTGAATTGCCTAGATTGGGTCAACATGATTGCTCCCCTGCAGTGAACACTTGGTTTTGGGTGGAAGGTTTGTTCATGGCTGGCTTGAGCTAGGCCAGCAGCCCAGCCTGCTGAAATGTTCTGCTTCCTTTCTTGTAGCCACAATAACTTTGTAGCCATCCTGGATCTGCCAGAAGGAGAGCATCAGTACAAGTTCTTTGTGGATGGCCAGTGGACCCACGACCCTTCCGAGGTACTCTTCCTCCTCCCCTTGGTCCTCTGGGTGCCTGCACAATCCACATAAATCACTTTCCATTTTGCCCTGCTGGTGAAAGTCCCGGTGTGGCTCAACAAGATAGCACCAGTACTCAGGCTGTTGGCACACTTGGTTAAGACAAACAGGATAGCTAACTAAGAGATGAGACTGGCCAGCCGGAAATTCCAAGTCTTCTAAAGAATAACCCCACAGACCTTCTATGTTATGATTTCTGCTGTCTGTCTCTTCCCAGCCAATAGTAACCAGCCAGCTTGGCACAGTTAACAACATCATTCAAGTGAAGAAAACTGACTTTGAAGTATTTGATGCTTTAATGGTGGATTCTCAAAAGTGCTCCGATGTGTCTGGTATGAACACAGTTATTTTGTACCACGTGTATAGAGGTGGGGGCTGTGGAGCCTACAGATCCTCTCATTTCTCCTGTGTCTTGCTTTTGAGCTCAAACTGCCCAATCAGGTAGCTCCAAAGGGCCGTCACACTAATTCCTAACTCTCAGGTCAGGCTTTTGAATTTTGGCCCCAAGGGAGCTGTAAATTGGCATTGTGTTGGGTATTCAGTGTGGATCACTTGGCCACACAAAACAGCAAGTGGAAACAGAACCAGAATTTGGTGTCAGGCCTGGAGGGAGGGACACATTGGATCAGTGATGAGCCCATGCTGGGAATGCCTGCCAGCTCACTTCCTAGTGCCTAGAGAATTTCAGTGTGACAGATGATAAATGGACACCTCAGTGACCTTGGCCTTGACTTGTGCAGTACACTAGCACCTTGCCAGACTCCTTGACAAGGGAAGAGAGCAGCTCCCCGAAGGAAACAGGCTGTACACCACAACTATTCTTTGTGAAAAGTCTGCTGGGTATGGTCCCAGCAAAACTTTCCCACATTTTGATAAATTGCTTCCCACAGGAAGAAACTCTTAGAACATAGTAAGTACAATTATGAGGGACAGATGTGGCGTAATCTGAAGTGTCAGTGCCAATTGCAGTTCCCCTTGTTGTACCTAAAGGCTCAAAAATTCCTCAGCACTGTGGGAAACATTGATAAGATTCCCCAGGAATGTGTCTACAGTCCAAGAAAATGGATTCGCTTCCATTTACAGAATGGGTTTTCATCCTCACCTGGCTGGGCCTGGAGGTTCTGCCACCAGGTTCTCTTACTGTTACCAGTCCAGAGATCACAGTGGTAAATTGACCATGGTAAGCTTGCATGGCTGACAAATCAGGCTGTTAGGCAGGACTTAGAAATCCAAAAATGATGTTCTTTATTTGAATAGTTAACTCATTTTTGACAAAGATCACCTGCTCTTTTTTCAGATAGGTAAGAATCAGTGCATTTTAGAAGTGCCCAAATAGCCTCCTCCTAGCTAATATCTTTAATTTTAGGTCGTACACAAAAGCTTTGAGTCACGCTTCTGCAGATCACCTTGGGGAAAAAATGAACTTGCTGCTGATAGACCAACTTGAAGCTCTCAAGAGCTTATAATTAGATGCATAATTTTCTTAAAATACATATTTATTCCTCATAGCTCATAATACACTTAACGCTTTTCTCAATTTTCTTTTGTGATGTGGTTGGATCACATGAAAGGAACCTGTCCCTAGAAAATGCCATGGGGGAAATTGGCAGAGCTAGAGCATATCAGGTATATTCTGGACTAGCCCAGGGATCAGGTGACCAGAAACCCATCCCCAGTGTTCTTTGAGTAATGGCTCGGTACATTCCAGCTGGCCAAACATCACTAAATGAGCTGCCTCAACATGTAACCCTGCCTGCCTAGAAGTTTCTTAATTATCTGTGTAATCAGGCAAGAGCTTGAAAGGAACCTGAGTATGATGGGATCATAGATTTTTTAGGAACAGAGTTTTCAATTAGTTTTTGTTTTTAAGTCTACTGGTGCTCCGTAAAACCTCCTTTATTCTGACTGATCATGCTCCGAACTTGGGATTAGGCAGTTTATCCTCACTTGAAGCCTTGAGCTTCTTTGTGGTATTTGCCAGCCATCTTCTGTGACACATGAGGTCAGGTGATTGAGAACAGTCTGCTTCGTTAGTCTGCCTCAGATTGCCTGCCTGTGCCCAGCTTCCGCCTTCCACCAGGGCATCTTGAGTTCACTACTGGTTATTCCAGTCACCCAAATTCCAGAAGGATTTTTCTCATTTTCACCTTTGGAGACTCTGTGTCTTTCAAAAGACTGATTGTGTATTGAGGAAACGAGACAAGGAAGGCTAGATGACAACACTATAAATTAAATGAGACTATTCCCAGCACTTCCGATTTTCAAAATGCCCTGTCCCCTTCTCCTTGCAGAGCTGTCCAGTTCCCCACCAGGCCCCTACCATCAGGAGCCCTACGTGTCCAAGCCAGAAGAGCGGTTTAAAGCACCGCCCATTCTCCCGCCACACCTGCTACAGGTCATCCTGAACAAAGACACTGGGATTTCTGTGAGTACATGGCCAGTCCTTTATGGTCTAACTTACTTAGTGCTTGTGTCAACTTCTCACATTGTGTCTGTCAGCAACTCAGTGTCACCATTGGTGTAAGCTGTATGGTCCGCCTCTGATAGTGGACGGGGTTGCTTATAGGAGGACCTCCCTCCCCATCTCGCAGAGCTTTTCTGAACTTTTCTTCCCTGCCCTTCACCCCTGCTCCAGCATAAGCCCCATTCCACTTAAATTGCATGACATACCTTCATAGGAAGGTACGTTTAGAACTCCTCCTCTGCCCTCCAGGTTTTAGAATCTAATTTTAATCATGAAATAGCTTTCTGAAACATGAATGCTCTTGGATTGAAATGTGGCTAACTCACAATTCCTCCTGGAAGTTAGTATTATCTAAAAGAAGTGTGTATCCTGGGTCATAAAGAGGAGCCAGCTTCAGTGGACCTTTGACGTACGAACTCAGTTGTAACTCAGGTTGGCAGTGGAAGCTCAGGCTCCTCTACACAGCCTTGACAGTCTCTCCTGTACACAGGCAGGTTTCATTGTCCTCAGACATTGGCCCAGGATTTCTCAAACCCATACAGAAAAGGATACTGAAATGTTCCTTCCAGAACTGCTGAAGGGTTAAATTGGTATCTGAAACCATCTGGAAGCACAAGCAGCTGGCATTCAGGTCATAATCCAAGAAGTTAAAATTCTGGACATAACCCAAGTTGTTCATGTCAGGCCAGTTGTAACTCGAAGGCCACTGTACTTCCTTGTGGTTGTTTTCCATCGTCTTTAATCTAGATTATCCATTTCATTTAACTCTGGAATTGGGGCTTGGTTCCAGGTGTCACCTAAGGGGCATGTGTTTTTCAGCTGCTGAGTGTTTTATCTGTTGCTGTAACACCACCCGAGCCTGGGTCATTTATGAAGAAGAGATGTATGTGGTTTATGGGACTAGAAAATAGGAAGTCCAAGAGCGTGGCACCAACATCTGCTGAGGGCTTCATGCTGTGTCATTCCGTGGCAGAAGATAGAAAGGGTTGGACTCACTTTTGTAACAATTTACTCTTAAGATAACCCACTTCCGTGATAACAGTAATCCATGCTCCACCTTCAAGACCTAACACCCATTATTGGGCTCCACCTCCTTTCCGCTAGAGAGTTATTTTCCGGCACATGAACGTTTGATGATACAGTAAACCATAGTAGGTGCTGATGCAACCATGCCACTCAGGATCCCACCACAGGAGGAACACAGGTGCCGAGATGAGCTGAGTGTACAAGGATGTGGGAGTCTCCTTCAGCAGTCTGCTGGGCCAGCAGGGCAGAGTCTTGATTTTTGTTACCTGTCCCAGGGAGGCTCACTTTTCTCAAAGTACCAGACCCCTCACTCTGCCAACACACCAGGCACTTGGCTGACAGCTGAGTTGGCCACTCTGGCTTGAGCCAAGAGGCAGCCACTGCTAAGGATCAGTGGGCGTCAGAACCCGCTGAACCAACCAGGGATCTAGCACTAAGCTGCCAACATCTCAAATAACAGGTGAAGAACTGCAGGACAGTTGGCTTCCATGTGAGAAGCACTTGCACGAAGCTGTTGTCTTTAACTCCTACTTTTACAAAGATTTGTAGGCAAAAAGATTTTTAGTGCCCTCAAAGCTGTTAGGGTAATATTTCTTCTATTTATTGCATATTATTTTATTTATTTATTTAAATTTTCCTTGAAAAGGAAAGCATACCAGCTGCCTTCTCTGATGAAGACTGCTTCTCAGAGTACGCTGACCAAGGAGCTGGGGTGTGAACTCGGCAGTAACCACCTCACGACACTGCTGGCCAAGGCTCTAACACAGACTTGGGTTGTGGCTAGGATACTCAGTTACTAGTGGTGATTGTGCTTTGAAGTAGTCCAGGTGCTTTCCATGTATCCTTATTTGAGCCTCACGACAACCCTGTGAAATAGGTACTATCCTTACCTCCATTTGATGAGGAGACTGGCACAGAGGAATTAACACCCCAGAGAAACACTGAAACTACTGCCTTAGAAATGTTCAGTTACTGACTGTGCTCACCATGCCATACGGTACCTGCTCTTGCACTAAGTCCTGTCTTATTTTAGGAATCTGCCCAGCACCCCTGTAAATTCAATTTTTTAGACTCTGTGTTTAAGATCTGTACCTGGCTTATTTAACTTAATGTTTCCAGGTTCATCCATGTTTTGGCAGATTACAGAATTTCCTTCTTTTTAAAGAATGATTAGTATCCCATTGTGTGTGTATATATCACATTTTTAAAATCCAGTCACCCATTGACAAATAGGTTGGTTTTTCCATACATGAGCTGTCGTGAATAGTGCTGCAGTGAACGTGCGATGTCTCTCCAGCGTTCAGATTTCATTTGTTTTGAAATGAGAGTGCTAAATCATATGATACTTCTGTTTTAATTTGAGAAACTTCTGTACTGTTCCCTAAGCCATCCCAAAGTACATACCCATCAACAGTGCAGAGTAGTGTTTTGATCCCAAAAAGGATCAGTTTATGAGGCAGTGTATATATTGATGAGTCAATGTAACCATTCCACTATTTATACATACTTCAAAACACCATGGTACACACAATAAAGAAGTATAGTTCTATCTGTCCATTTATAAAATTAATTTTTAAAACCCTTGGTCACATAGTAAGTGACCAAGCCAGCATTCAGGCGAGGAGTGCCAGCTCCTTGCTGTCACTGGCTGCCAAGAACAGCTTCCCATGGGGGCTCACTGGATGCTGTTGACAAGGATAGTCAGCCAGCCTGTGGGATCCTAAGCCTACGATGAGGGCAAGTGTGGTGCTCCAGGCTCCCAGATGATGGCCAAATTGGAGCCATGAATGAGCTTTTCTCAGCCTGTCTGTGAAAAAACCAGCATGTTCAGTTCTAGTAAGATCACAGATTTCTTCTTGCAAACTTGGAACTCCTGTAGGACTTGTTAGAATACAGCTTCTGAGGCTCCCTCAGACCCCCTAGGCCAGAAGCCCTCAAGATGACCCTGCCCAGCTGTAGTGAGGGGGGCTCCAGCTGCTTCACCTGTGGAGACCTTGTCTCATCTCGACAGTCCATGAACAGGCAAAGCAGAGTTCTTGCTTGGACAAGGTGGTGACCTGTGTTGGGCCATGAGAGACCTTCAGTGGCTGTGATCCTGAGGTTTCTCAGGGCTGTCTTGTAGAGCTTCCCACTGTGCTGAGCGACTGAGCACACTCCATCCCTTACAGCAGGGACTGCTGATTGCCTATACGATTTTATCACATGAACTCACGTTTATGTTGGGAATGTACATTTGAGGGGGGACCACAGATGTCTGGCCTCCCCTAAAAAAACAGGTATGGCAACACTGAGTGCTAGTCCTGTCTAAGCTCTTACACAGTAATAGCACTTCTGGCAGTTACCCATTTCATTTTTCAAGTTCTGTGTCTGAGTCCAAGGGACCTAAGTGTGAGCTCCACTGCTCAGAAGTGTTCGATGTCGATCTTGTCTTCCTGCATGCCCTGAATGTGCTTTCAGCAGACACTCCTTTCTCCCCGCCCCCTCCTCAGTAAGGAGGCAGACCTGCAGCCTGCACTTCAGAGGTCAAGGGACAACCTGGCTTGAGACACACTTCACTCCATCCAGCTGCAGAAGAGGGTCCTCTTCAGTCAGGGGAGGGCACAGCCATCTAGGCTCATCTGTCATCTTGAGCAAGCCCTTCGGCTGCCTGTCTTGGAACGAGAACTACTTCCTTTGCCCTGCTGCCTGGTGCCATGAAATGCGGGGAGGATTCCCTTACTTCATATGCTAAATGCTCACATCTGCCTTTGTTCCTCCACAGTGCGACCCAGCACTTCTCCCAGAACCCAACCACGTCATGTTAAACCACCTGTATGCACTGTCTATCAAGGTAATAACCTGTCACTGTTAGGGTTCTCAATGTGTGCTTTCAGGGCCCCCTATTGTGTGTGTACGTGGGGTGGGGGGGGTGCAGCTGGTTCAGAGGGCAGCTTTTGGGGCTCAGGCTCTGAAGTAGGGCCTGGGAATTTGTATTTTCCTTAAGCTCCATGATGATTTTCATGCACTATGAGGTCTTAAGTCCTTGTGTGCATCCTACCTTTAACCATTTCCACCCTCTTCCTTAGGATGGAGTTATGGTGCTCAGTGCAACCCACCGGTACAAGAAAAAGTATGTGACCACCTTACTGTACAAGCCCATATGAAGAGCGAGGAGCCGACACTGGGCCCCAGGGACAGGTGGCACCTCCGTGCTCCCCGTGTGCATGCTTTCCACTAGAGGAATGGACTGGCAACTTCTCATTTCATACTCTCTAAGACATTTCATACCTGCCCTACTCCTACTTGAAGGTTTGCCCAGGTGCCCCAGCTCCAGGGCAGCCTGGTTCTGTAACAGTCCTCTTAGCACTTGGCTGTGAGCCTCGGGGACTCATCACGGGCGACAAAGGCAGAAGGGAAAGTAGAGGAGCTGCAGCCCCAAGACACTGTACAAGGTCAGGTGCGGCTCTCAGCATGCGCCCTCTCAGCTGGTCGCGGACATTCTTAAACCAAAAGTGCACGCTAGCCACTTTGCTGGGGAAAATTGCAGGAAGCAGGGGCTGAAGTCACACATTTCTAATTGTGCATCTTTAAGGCCACTGGCCTGTCCCTACTGAGGCCTGGCTGCGGAGCTCAGAGTAAGTCCCATCTTGCCTGTCCTTCCAAATCAAAGCAATAGATTGCCTCTCTTGCCCTGCTTCAGGGAGGTATAATTTCTGTTGAAATTAAAAGCTGTCTGATTTCCAGATGAAGTTTTACAGTTGTTTCCTACACTGTGTGCACTAAGTAACACTTTTGTAGCCAGAGGAGGCTGGCTGTGCAGCCTTAATGCAGTCAGTCACCACAGCTAGAATATAGATCATGTGACTGTGCTCAGCAATAATCTGTTCCCAGAATAGACTTCTAAACCTGCCGCTGGTTCCTCCATTAAGCTGGATGATCCTGAGGACTGACCATCATTAGCTGGAGGAAGGTTGTCCAGCTCTTTATTCCAATCATAATGAGACGGCAGTGTTACCATGACAACTTTGCAGAAGTACCCCAGCCTCCTTTTAGTTCCATCTTGTGCCACCAGGGATTCAGAACCTGACAGCAGCCTTGAGGATTCACTTCGGGAGAACATCCTTTCCATCACAGTGGACCTCTTTACTTCTGGCACAGTTTCCAGGGAGATCCCACAGATGTCCCCGATGATACAGGTTCCTGTCACCCCGTCAGCAGAAGTCGTCATTATGCCTTTTGTTCTTGCTGGGAGAGGGAGGAACAAGATCACCAGTGTGCAGTATTTATTTGGTAAACCTGACTCCTGGCACCCTTTTTTGTTACTGTTTTCAAAACACTGAATTGCTATCAACTTGACATACAAGTTTCAATAAAGCTTTGTAAAGATAATTGGATATGCATTTGGAGTGAGCTTGATTCTGTTCAGTTGTTTGGACACTAGGTTAATACTGTGCCTGTCTCACTCTGTACCACACTTGAGGTGGAGTGGTAGGTCCAGGCTACTCCAGCTGCCCCATCCACTCGCCAGTTAAGGAGCCTCTGAGATGCAGCCCCTATGAACTGCTCAGTACCAAGGAATAGCACCCTGCTTGGGCAGGTGGGCAGCGCCTCATAAGCCCTGCTTAGAAGCCTCGGATCCTGAGTTTGTGGGACACTGGGATAATTTTGGATCAGCTGTTAGCTGGAAGGGGGTCTGTCCCTCTTCCCAGAATATGGAAGGTTGTCGGTGTTCTTTATCCCCCTTTTCAGACATCAGGAAATGTTTTCAGTAAACTTAACCGAAAAGGGCTGTCCTGGGTGATCTTGTCCATAGATGGACAGCAGCCTGGACAGCCCTTCAAGGCAAGTGATAACCAGTCTTACCTGGAAGACTGGATCAATGTGAAACCCTCCATTCTTGGGACCACAGAGATTATTACAGTAGACTTAAGGAAACAAAACAGAGCTTTTCAGAATAGGATTGAGCTAAAGTGAAATGTATAAAGGGGATAACATTCAAACATTAGAAATGAAGCTCTTGGACAGAGAGGGTGTCTGGGACTAAGACCCAGCTTGAGACCCCAGTTGGGTTTGACACCCACGCCCATGCAGGGAGCCACATAGGGTCGGCACACTAGTGCTGCCCTTTCTAAACAGAGCCTCAGTAGGTTCTCAGAGGGAGCCATCAGCCTCAGACTGCAGGTAGAAACAAAATTCAGCATACAAATGAGCTCTGCTTACTAAGTGTTGAAATAAGCTGAAAATGCAATGTGAAAACCAGTTCAGAGCCAGTTACTCTGTAAGAGCCCCTGGAACCACAGGGAACTTGGTATAGATGCACCTGGGGTAGCAGAGGGTAAGCACACAAGCCACACAAGGGGGGTGTCTGAGGTGGTATTCCCCACATCTGTCTAGCATTCTTTGTGTGTATTAAAAAGATGTCATTTTCTCTGAAAAGCAGCATTAAAGAAAATCCACTGTGGTCCAGAAAATTGCCCACAGAACCAAGTGTAAGACCCAAAAAGCTACATAATGGAGACTACTTTCTGGAAGTTAAAAAGCAGACCCTGCGTTGCCAGCCCACAGAGGTGAAGCCAATCTGTGAAGTTGGAGTGTTACGTGACCCAGTCGTGCCTGCCCCATTGGCATTCCCTTTATGGGTGAGGACTGCTTACGTGGTTGGTTAAAGCTTAACTAAATTGCTTTTCAATGAAGATACATTTTTTTCCCTCCTGAAATTTGTATAGTAGTAACTTTATAGAGTCAAAGGTAAGACCTGGAGATTACTGGAATGTAACAGTGTTGGAGGGTAAACACAATTGTCCCTTAGTGTCCTTGAATCCCAGGACCCTTCAAATGACAAAGCCTCCATATAAACTACACCCATCTTCCCATATCCTTTAAATCCTCTGCACTTGTAGTAGTTATGTAAGTAAGCTCTATTGTTTAGGGAATAATGAAAAGGTACAGTTGACAATTTTTTAAAAATATTTTTGATTTGCGATTGGTTGAAACTGCAGGTACAAACTGCAGATGGGGAGGGCCGACTCTGGAACTGTTTATCACAACATTAAAGCTCCAAACGAAAGCAGAGCAGTAGGGTCGTTTCCTTCCCTGTGGATCTGCTTCTGAGAACAATGTGAGGGACGTCAGTAGCACTCTAGAACTGGGGCACAGGCCTGACGTGGTCACCTGGATCGGCCATTCCCCATCTCCCCCTAGATGGAGGTGAGGGATGTTGATGCAGTTCATCAAAGAACCACACGCAGATCCTATGGCCTCAGTCTGATTTCCTTGCCTTGAAAAAGGAAGGGCAGAACTAACACTGGAGGATGCCTGGGATTCTTTTATTTCACATTGGGAGCCTCAAACCTTGACAACATGAAAGGAATTTGGCCGCAAACAGGAAGCCATAGCACCAGACAAAACTACCAGCATCTCAACTAACTCAACTAGGAAATCTCCAAAACTCCAAAGGCCAAGACTGAAAACCCAGGCAGGACATCAGACTGGTTCCATCCAGGGCTGATGTTAGAGATGCACCATTTTAGGGACAAAACAGAAAATTTCATTTTATTCAGCCCGTTTCCTTTTATATAATTACATTTTCACTGCCAAGCATATACTCAATTCTCCTGATACCTGATCCTTCACTGCTGTAGTTAAATGTGTCCCTTCTAAAATTCAGACGTGGGCTAGGGACGTTGCTCAGTGGTGTTGCACCTGCCTGGCAAGCACAAGGTCCTAAGTTTGATTCCCAGTACCAAAAAAACAAAGCAAAACAAAAAAATGATACAATTCAGATGTGACCAGTGTGGTTAAGAGGCAGGGCTTTAAGAGTGAGACTCCATGAGGACTTCTCCCTTCATAAATGAAGACCTGTATCACATGTCTTACAAAGTGTTTGGCTAACTTGCCCTCATACCTTCTGATGAGTAAAGACGCAGCAACATGGCAGAATCTTGGAAGCACAGAGTGGCCCTCACCAGACAACCAAACCTGCCAGCACCTTAAATACAGATTCTCAGCTTTGAGAAATGAGAAATTATAAATCACCCAGTCTCGAGTATTTTGTTACAGCAGCAGTAAACAGATTCAGATATCTACCAGTGTACATAAATGGTTTGAATGAACTGATGTGGACCACTCATAAAATCTTCCTGCTTCTGATAACTTCCTTCCCACCACCTCTCTTAACCATCTAGTTACTGGAGCACAGAAATCTGAGCCTTCAGCCTGGGAAAAACTGTAATTGTCTTCAGGAGAAAGCAAGGAAGTTTGGACATGTACACATTTCTTCTAAAACCCAAGTCATCCTGACTAATTAAAGAGCCACAAAAGCCCTCCTATAAGTTGTCACTGATGTGAGACTGAAGCTTGGAGTGGAATCCCAAAAGCTGAAGTGGCAGCCAGAGCCCAATCTATGGAGCCCAACTGCTCTCTCTGGAAATAACACTGAACTCTGCCTTGAGGATTAGCTCCCACAACTACGTTGTCCTGTTGGTCCCTCATATTTAGGTTCTTAGAGCCCTAGCCTGAATAAAGGGCTTTGCAGGCCCTTAATGTCTCCCCTAGTTAATTCCCCAGCCCATCTAGAAGCCCAGAGAGAACACAGGAGACACCTCTACAAATGCATACATACACTGGGTCAATTTTATTTTCCTGTTTTGTGGCTCTCTGACGGAGCCTACATTAGGCACAGTAGCAAAGTCATTTTCAAAGTCCTTTCCTCTAACTCTTTAACAATCCCTTTCCATTAATAATTGATAGACTCAAGGGCAAATAAAGTGATCACCATTGTACTCTATTTCCTCTACCCACACCCTCCTCATCTCCAGAAAACTAAAGCTAAACATTTCATTAGGGATTTTCATATAAATATTGCATGCCTAGAATCACAATCCTCATGCTTTAGACACCATAAGCAGTATTTAAACTACCAACAAAGAGATCTGACTAGAACAGGGATGGACCAAGATTTCTCAGCCTTGGCACTGCTGACATTTTGGGGTGAATCATTCTTTATGATTGGGGGGCAGGGGCTATACTGTGCAGCATCCTTGACCTCTGCCGTTGGATACCTGTAGTACAACTGTGATAATCAAAATTCTTCAGAATTATCAAATGGCTTCTGGGAGAAAGGAAGCAAAATCTCCCCTAGCTAAGATTAAGCCAGTTTAACTGTGGTAAGCAAGTAGAAGCTTATTTAGCTGACAGGCTTTATAGCCTTAAATCTGCACAAATGTTTTCTAATGCTAATCACATTCAAGAGACTCAATTCTGAACAGTTCGAGCCTATTAAGTAAATCATCTCTTTTTGGCCTAATTGTCCACATTTCACAGTTATGAAATTTGCTGTCCATTCAACATCTTTAGCCTCATGAAAATTAAGTTGTAAGCATAGAAAACATCCAATTGTGCTAAGAAACAAGAGTGGCAGTAGGAAAGGTTGGGCCTTGTTTTATGGTACAACTGAGTAGTTTCTTCGGGGGTTGTTGCTGAGGGTTCAAAGAACCTTCTTGACGCATTCCTTTTGAAACTAAACCATGTTTACTTAGCTTTGAAGCAACCTATGGCTGTTTGGCTGGGTAGTTTCTTTGAGGCTGTTGCTTAGGGTCCAAAAAACCTTCTTGGAATCGAACCATGTTTACTTAGCTTTTGAAGTAGTCCGTGGCTGCCAAGAATCCTCAGGACAGTAACTAAAATTGTTGGCTGGTATTTACTGGACATTTTTTTTTAATGTTACAAGGAAAGGAAAATTCAAACACTTCACTTCTTCATCTTATGACTTATTTTCATTCTTCCAATTATTGACCTTGTGGTAGATTTTTATGTCCAAAAGAGAAAAGAGAAGCATAATTTCCTCTATGACTCCTACTCACAAGCCATTGGATCTAACCATTCAAGTCAAATTTGGAACATGGTCAGAGTACTTCATTAGAAAAATAAAACATCAAAGACTGAAAACCATGAAAAACAGAAAGCATGAAAAAAAGAAGTCATCATTTGCCAAAGCTCATGTTTATGTGGATCAAGCCATTTTATGTAACAAACAAAAAAGTAATAGAGAGTATTTATCTTGCAGACTGTAAAACTTCACCTTGGGGGAAAAACAGAAATATTTGGGCTTTCACTTACTATGATATGAACTCCTCCCTCCAAACAAATGTGCATTACTAAATTCTCAGTGGCTTCATCGTGCTGAGAGAAATCTTATGATGACCTGTTTTCCTGGTAAGATGCACTACAGGCGATCCACTGTGAAATAATCCTTTCAAAATGACCTATTTGACAGTTTAAGGAGCTTTCCAATTCCAAAGTCCTATAAATGAACTTAATAACCAATTCAGAGTTCACTAAAAGTACTGGCCAAACATCAACATTGTCACACTTTGGAAGAGCATGTCACCAAGCT